TTGACCTTTGGAGACATCATTAATATAAATAATTTTTATGGACGTTGAATAAGAAGTGTTTCTTTCACAAGAAATGTATAAAATTAGTGCTGTATTAGACTTACGGTACCTAATTTACATACTGTGCAGACGATAATAAACTCAACTTACTAGCCTAAAATCTCCGTAGCGTGTTGCCAGGCGGCAGAAAGCATATATATAATTATAATAAAGTTACAATAAATTAAGTTAATATATAATTATATATACAGTACCTAATTTATATATAATTAATATATAATTATATGTACAGTACCTAATTTATATATAATTTATATATAATACTAAACAGACGATAGCAAACTCAATTTAGCCGCTCTGTAGCGTGGCGCAGGGTCGGAGAAAAGTAGTTCGGCTGCTTATCCACTATTGGTCCAGACTCTATCAATCTTGTCGCGAAACGACGTTATAGGAGGTATGTTATACGAAAGTTGTTACAATTTTTTCGCTACGTTATAGGAATTGTCGTTATAAGAACGTACGTTATAGGGGGGTCGACTGTAATTTGATAATTTAACACTAAAATAGACTATCAAATCTGTGAGACCCTAGATATTCTTTTATTCCTATTCAATATTCATGTTGTTGCTCATTTTCATTATGTGTTATCAATGGGGGCTGTGTTTGCTATTTTGGTTGGTATTGTGGAATGGTTTCCTGTGATGAATGTTACTCGTACCATAGTAGAATGCCATCACAAATTTTGAATTATATTAAGTTCATCTTTTTCCTGAATTTACTGTTTTCATTTATTAGTTGTATTGTTTTTATTATCCAAATATTAAAATAATATCAAAAGACAATTTTCCTGCTTTATCAATATATCTTTAAACTTATTAACTTATCACATGCATAACCAAACATGTTAAATCAGCCTTATATTATATTTTTCCTTTTTTTTTATTATTAATTTACTAGCTGCAAGGACCCACTTCGCTGGGTTTTTTTTATATAAAAGACTGTTTTTCTAAGTAATCTAGAATCTAGCTGCAAGGACCCGCTTCGCTGGGCAAAAAGTAACGATAGTGAAGATTAAGATAATTACATTATAGCTAATCTTACCCGTTTTCACAGAATGCAAGAATTAGGTCCCCGTTTCCAGACTAATTAGAGAATTTTTACATTTAGTCAAACGAACTATTTTCAACGTTTCTAGAACGTTTACAATCGTTCTATAATCAAACCAATATTCGAATTTTATGTTCGAATTTAATTCGAACAAATTTGAACATAACATTCAAAATAGAAAGCCACTTTCAACCACTTTCAGCCTCATATCTCCCACACCCTTATAGCTATCGAGACACAACCGCCCCTATGCACGAATGGAGACTTGGGGCTACTACCACATACAAACATTATTCGCGTGCGATGTGTAGTTTTGGCGGAAAAGTGAAATATAGGGACATACATGTCCATTTATATATATATAGATTTTCAAACACAAATCAAATACTCAAAAACTGCAATCATCAGCTGGATTATTTAGTCTGGAAGAAATCTAGTAATGTCTCAAACTGATTAGGCAGTTTGAATTACATAAGCTGCTTAATTTCTAAAATAAACATCAGAATAAATCAAATTCATCAGTGTAAATACTAGATTCTATATTAAATGAGTTAAGGTGGAAATTTTTATTAACTTTACGATCATTAGATATTGTAAGAAATGCAATTACAGTAATACCCCCACTTACGCGAACCCAAAGTTACGCAATTTTCAAATCTTGTTGATTCGTCTTTTGTTTGAGCGCCACGCAACCCTTAATTATGCACTCCCCCACACTATTGTTCATCTTACATGTTCGTATGTGTCGCGCGGAATCGACACAGCTACAATTAATTTTGTGTTACTTATTTCTGTGTTTGTTATATCTACGGAGACTTGAGAGACTCTACTATGTCATCTAAACGAAGTAAAATTGATTCTTCTGCACCAAACAAGAAAAGAAAAACTTTATCTTTGGAATGTAAAGTTAACATCGGATACGTTCGTAAAGTCGAACGAGTTAAACGGGAATGACGTCATCGTTATTCTTATTTCGTTAGACTTTTCGAACAATTCATTACTAACGCGTTTAACTCGTTTGACTTTACGAACGTACCCATTATTAAAGAGTTCGATACAAAAATGAAAATTTGTGAATTGGCAAAGAAGTTTGATCTACCGGAATCGATGGTCAGAACAATTATAAGAGGTAAAGAAAAAATTCTCGGAGCTGCGAAAAATGCTCAATCTTTAAATTCAAGCATCATTCATAAACATCACGGTATTATCGCTGAGATGGAAACAATGTTAAAATTATGGTGTGATGATCAAGTAAATGTGAAAAATTGTATAATAATATAATTTGTTATACAAATGTATTAACTAAGATTTTATTGAACAGTTTTTTCTAAATTATTGTTTTCTTTAGTCTCCGGCCCCAATTAAAAATTATTTGTATGTATTTATATGCAAAATTATACCGACTTACGCGAATTCAACTTACACGGTTATCGCTCGGTCTCACCTATCGCGTAAGTTTGGGGTATTACTGTATTAGAAAGTTTCTATACATAAAAAGGTCATCCTTTACCCCAGATACGTTGACAACACTCATTGTCTGGACTGGTGTTTCACCTATTCAAACTTTCTAAACATATATATAAAATTACAGTAGTTCCTTATCAGTGTGGCTGTAGTGACAAATATTTTGCATGAAATCAGTTATAGCAAATTTCTGATCTAAAATGTTAAGGTTTTAATTTCTTAATTCAGGAGAAGACAATATATTTTAGACATGTGGAGATAAAAAAATATAAAAAAACACACATCCATGGGAAAGTTTGATAATAGAAAAGACTAATTTTGGGGGAATATATCTCAGAAAGGGTCACATGTTGAAGTGTAAGTTTTATTTCCTCAACACGAAGTCGAATTAACATAAATCCAATCCTTCGTTCCTGTTAAAATCACTCGTTCAGTTTTAGCGACAATTATATATTTTCCGATCTGTGAAATTATTTACAAGATTAGTTTACTGTATACAATTAGAATACAGGGAAGGATTCCTTAGGCTTGTAGCGCATTCGCCATCTTCTTCTAACTGTCGGGTCGATCCAAATTCCATTCGTTGGCTTCCAATGTTTCCGTTATAAGATCCAGTTGTAGCCGATCGCCTTCACTTGCTTCCCCAAATGCACCAAAAAGGAAAAACAGTTCTTCTGTCAACCCTTATTCCTTATGTACCCACTTCCCCCACGGGTTTATTGCCCTTCCAGGCCTAAAGGGCGATGGAACACACAAACAAAAAGCATTGTGTCCAACAATTGAATAATACACAAACAGAATGACCAGCGATTGTCATAGAGATACAGTTCCTTTGACATTTTGCTCCTACGGATATGCCCTACAGCTCTGATAAGGTCCCAACCGTCTCATTCAGAGCTCGAATCGAGCCCCGTACAGTACAACGAGAGAATATATCAAGGGTCATCCCTAATTAATCAGATTAAGAGCTTAAATCGCACTTTAGTCACGGATATTCACAATTATCAGGTTACAAGGAAGATTATTGTTTGTAGAACATTGTATAGTCGATGTAATTTTGTTACATTGCTCTCAATCAAAATTAAATACTCATTTTAAACTTGTATATCATTTTATTTGATTGAATCAATGTTAAGAAACATAAATTATGCCATATTTTCTAATAAGTAAGTAATAATTGTGTCACAGTATTGTTGAAATTGATTAAATTCTAGATATGTTAAGACATGCAAATTGCAATTGAAACAATAATTTTAGAAATATATATATATAAAATTTCGAATGATAAGTAATAAATTAGAATACAACACGACAATCTTGTGTCAATTAAGCAGAACTTCAAGGATCTTGTAGAATATTTCTACAAATGACAAACAGAAACGGAAATAAACGATCGTCTTTCGTTGTTAATCTTTTAATGCCGCTGTTATTCGCGATGAAAGTGTAAAAAGTAATCTCATAAACATCGAAAAACTGATAAAAGATGGAACTGTCCTTACCTTCGGTGTTTGAGTCCAAACTTCCCTTCTCGTTAAATGTCCACGACATCGTTCGTGATGTTATTGTGACGTCACTTCGTGCGTCACCTAGAATGAAAAATAAAACTGAAAAAATTGACCTAAAATTTAATGTCAAAAATAATTATATATGTTTATTTTGCGTAATTTAAATTTAATTAATGTATTAATTTTAATTAAATATCAATATAAATATTATTAATAAAAATATTGCAAAGTCGTTTATAATTTATTTTTCGAAGAAATGATGGTTTAAAAATAAAAAAATTTGTGGAAAAATAAAATTTAATAATCGAATCTGGTTCCTCGAATCCTTTTCTTTTTACTCTTCCCGCGTTTTGGGCACTAAGGCCTCTTTTAACAGACCTATTATGGGTTCGGCTAGGCCCAAAATGGGCCGATCGGATGGGTCCGACATATCCGGACGGACCAGCAACTGAAAAATTCCTGGATTTTTTCGTTCCGTCCGGATTCGATTCTGGGTTCCCAGAAAAGTGGGCTGCAACCTTAACCGCTCGGCCATCCGACCGTCGAGGTTCTTTGAATCTATTCCTAATAGTTAGTTATAGATGGTCGGATGGTCGCGCGGTTAAGGTTGCAGCCCACTGTTCTGGGAATTCGGAATCGAATCCGGACGGATCGAAAAAATCCAGGAATTTTTCAGTTGCTGGTCCGTCCGGATATGTCGGGCCCCGCCCTTCACCATCCGACCGTACCATTGTGAGCCTGGCCCATAGTAGTATTTCAGAAAACGCAGTCTTAGGGTCAACACGGCGAAAAAAGCAAAAGAAAAAAGTGTTCAAACTCGTCTCCTGAAGAAAAACATTTGTCTTCGTGGCACTACAGCGTATATTTTTCTCTGTGATAAGCATGTTTCGAAAGATCAAATATTAAAACTGATATTGGATTTTCACGAGATTTTTCAATACTAAATGAAACTTCAAATATATGTTAATTGTGTGGAAACATATTTATACATATAAATAAATCGGACTTATATTTCGTAAATCGCGATACTATCGAAACGGTTTGTTGCCTATGAGGTAATTTAAATGCGATTGATCATATTTAATATTTTTAGAAACCTGGACACGAATCCGGATTCCTAGAGCGGCAGGCTGATGTCTAATGTCTGAGCCATTCGCTCTTTGCAACAAAGATTTAATGAGGCATTGTTATTTCTCACGTAACAAACAAGAATAAACAGCATACTTAATTAATATCTACGTTGTTTTCCGGAATTATTTAGGTTTGATTTTACTGTATATTATTTGATGTTTCCGTGCTTTTAAAAAAATAATAACGAAGTGTGATTTTATTTTATATTCTGTTTACGTAGTCATGGATGACTGGAGAAAAACAATGAAAGATTTTCTGTTTGAAGTCAGTAGCCTAGTTAATATAGAGGAGACTAGTTTATCCAAGTGGATCTACAATGAGGGAAAAGATCTGGATGTTGGTGATTGTGTCCGAGTAAGTTAATATTTTATTAATACAATAATATATTACTAATAGTGTTGTAACGAATAGTATATTCGGCCTCAGGCCGAATACCGAATATTCGGCCAGGAGCGTAGCCGAATAGCCGAATATTTGGCCAAACTATTCGGCTCGATTAACGCACGTACGAAAATTGGCACGCAAACCTCATTATAGCCAGGACTTGCTCTCCATTGGCCCACTGTCACTACGCTTCGCCAATTGCGTTAATTCTTTACAGTTCAGACAAGAGCGTCATGGCAGTATGTGATAAATGACGATATCAAATGTGAATAACAATGAAATGACCTACACATGTAAATAATGGAAAAAGAACAGAGTAAGACCGCGAAGTGAAAATGTGAAAATAAATATGAAATTGAGTTGATACATAATCGAACAAGTCGAAGCAGCTTATTGGCGCCAAATTTGCGGCCGTCAATGCCAAACAATTGTTGTCATAGACCTTGGAAAGCTAAATGCTTGTAATGAAAGTCACTTAGCGTGCCCGGGCGAAAGCCTGGGACCGTTCGGGCTATCAAGCTGTCTCGAATCTGTCAAATCATAACTGTGACATATACCGACGTCCTATCTGTCTCTTTTCTACGTTATCACCGGGCTATGAGTCACGTAATTATAAAATGGAAAAACAACGACGGAAGAGTGACGAATCGAAGGTATCGTGAGCGCGTATTATGATATATGCATAGGCATACGTGGACTAGAGAGATAGAGGAAAGAGAAAGGAAAGCGCAAAGACGAGCGCTTAAAAAGAATAGACAGGGTCAGATGTGTGTGACGATTCTCGAACAAATAGGTGCGTACGTGGGCTGATATTTGTAATTATAAATTGTAAATACATGTGACTAATATTATTTTTTTTATTTTGTGAATGTTATAAGTTATAAATAAATGTAAACAAACAACACTAACCCGATAATATTAAATCTAAATACCGAAATGATTAATTTACAGTGTTTTTGTTATTTCTTACTCCGGTTTTAAAGTATTCGGTATTCGGCCGAATAGCGAAAAATAGGCTGAATAGGCTGAATACCGAATAGTAACCGAATATTCGTTACATCACTAATTACTAAACGTTTAAGTAATATCTCATTGCAAGTGTTTCTATGAAGGATTTGGTGATACTGATTCGAATACTCTTGGAAAAATTTCCATCAAAAAAATCAGATGAAGATACCGAAGGAAAAAAAGATGAGAATAGATCTGCAGATAATGGTAATTTCATATTATAACAGTTTTGAGGCAACTTTTACTATATTCAAACAATTTTTTATAGAACTTCATAAGCAATTAGAAGAATATGAAGATCATTATTTTAAATTAAACGAATTAATTTATAAATTAAAAAATCAATCTGTGAATCAAACAGAACTCTTAAAAAGATGCGTCGGTATGTTTATTTTTCCATTCTTCATTTTATAGAATAAATTTTTGTGTATTGTGATTCACAAGGCCAGTGTTACCGTATGGGCAGATTGGACATTTGCCCAGGGCGGAAATTTTTAGGCGTATTATTTTTAAAAATTTTTATTTATATTACACAATGCGAATTAAATATTGATTGATGGAACAATGCATGGCATTTGAAGCAAATATTTTTAAAAATTTTATGTAGGAAGATAGGAGACTTCAAATGCTCGTCTTGTCCCGGGCGGCATAAACTCTAGCGGCAGCTAGATATATACAATATATTTTTAATTATAATTCTCAAAGATATCGTCGTCATGTTCTTTCTAATTATTTACTATAGAAAGATACGGATGATGGCATTTTAAATAACACAGATTTTGTGAAACTATTGGCACTTTTTCTTGGGGCGGAGAGGATAAAACTGGACACCGATAATTGATCGAGGGTTCGCACCTCACCAACGAGCTAGCCACATGGAATTTTTCTGGTTTCTTCACGTATCCAATACCTAAATAGGAATCAGTTTCCCATAGAAAGTTATTTCAGGTGGCAGCTACATCCTTATTTTGGCGTGTGTAATAAGTTTGATACAAAATAATTTATTTAAACTTTATATAGTGGAAATCTTGTAACCTACTTAGAAACTTAGAGAAATCTTGGGGAATCGTCGGTTCATAACATTCGTCAGGCAACGTACAGTAATACCCCGAACTTACGCGATAGGTGGGACTAGGGTTTCTGAAACGGGATTCCGGGATCCCGGTTGTTTTTTTAACTCGGGAAATATCCCGGGAAATCCCGCAAATTTCTTAAAAATTCACTTTTTTTGTTATTTTGTGTTAAGGTTGAGGAGTTTTGCAAATAGAAAGCATAATTAACTCATTCACTGCCAGAATACATTTGTATTTATTAATTTTAAACCTACCTATTAGTTTTTTTAAATTTTTGCTCGTTATAGCATGTCACAAATGGTCAATAATCAATATATAGCTTATTTGTGGCATGACTATAAAAATTCTTTACTTGTCGGAACCTGTAATATCTGGAATAATTGTGCTTACGCTGTCTTGAGTTTTAACCATGCCCAGTAGCTTCAATAAATGCCT